ATTTCTTCGTTTTTGAATCTTTATTTCTTAATAAATATTAATTTTTCTTCTCTGGAGATGAATTACTATTTTGTTAGCAAAGCAGAAAAATCGAATTTGCAGTTCGTTTACCGATGGCGATGCAAATAAATTCTCTATAACTAGCGAACGAAAATGTTTAGTTTTTCAAATGTTGCTGATCTCGCGTTTTTCTAAATTTTATTATTTTTTGTTTTATTTTTTAAACTTGTATTCACCTTTGAACTATTTATGGTTAAAATGTTGGAAAGGGATTCTGGAACTCAAGAAAACGTGCGCAAATGATCTCCCCCATACGTCACATACAGTTTTTACTAAATAAATATATATTTCCTAGTACTTGTAGCCCCTGTAGTTATTATTTTTTCCTTTTGTAATCGTATACGGTACGTAATACCTTTATTTCGTATCCACATGGGCGAAAAATAAATTTACAAGTTCTCTACACGTATTTCTACAATGTATCTGATGAAGTTAACAGCTGATTTGGTCAAACATAACGTGACAAAATCTCGATCGTCATAATTAAAACCAATCCATTCTCTCCCGCATCCTTTGTCTTCGCACTATTGGATAATATTCCGAATCATTGCTGGAATCATCTACAAATGCTATCATTCGTAATCGTCGAACCGTAACAACACTTCGGAGGTACATGCACGTTGAAAACTGAATTTACTCCGTACTTTACCCGACGGATTTTCGCGGTGTAAAGTTACTCTCGTGTAAGCGATTTCTACTCGAGTAAAGTGTTGGTGAAACGCTCCAAGAAGTTACTCTCGAGTAGTCGTAAACATGATTTACTCCAGAGTAAACTCTTACTCTTTGTTTGGTGAAACCGGCCCTAAGGGCCACGTGTCGCCAAACCGTCGCCCGGCGGGGGATCCGTTCTTATGCTGTTCTTCTCACTTTCGAGAGAACTTCCTGTGTGACCTCACGTCCACACTTGTGCACTCGGGCTCAAGTGGCATGCCACATCTTAACCACAATTTCCTGAGTGCTGTTTGTTAATACTAAACAATATTTTCTTATTACAACTTCAGAATTGATATGTGTTTTCCGGCTGCTACGGACGCGGTATTTCGGCTGATGTGGTCACAGAGGTGTGAGGCACAGCTGTGGGATATAACTCTCTAACGGGTCCCGCGATCTTTCCTTCCTCTTCACCGTCCTATACTCACACCCATACTTATACACACTTACATTTACACTACCACACATGTCGGGAGACCAGTCGAAAGCTTATAAGCTTGGTACCACGCTGGTAGGAGATACCTGTTTGGGGAAAACCGCGGTAGCCGACGTGTAGATTGGAGCCGGATCTCCCCTTTCAGCGGGGGAGGATCGACGCCACCTCACGCGATAAAACGTGCTCATCATTAGGCACTTACGGAACTAATTAATTTAGCAGTTGACGCGGCCGGAATTAATGCGGAAACATTAATCAAACATTGAAGTCCTTCATATTCACTAAATGGAAAAAAAAGAAGAAAAAAACTCTAAAAACATCAGTATCATCAAAGTCATTCAGAGAAATGAGAGAGGTTTACCACTTCTGGACCAATACAATTACTGTTCTCTGTAAACAAAGAGTTGAAAATGTTTCTTAAAATGTAATGGAAATGTTTTATATTTAGTAAGGTCCGTTTTTAGTAAGATCTTCATGTAGTAGTAAACTAAGGCAAAGAAATACTATAGTTCACTCTTAACTTAAAAACGCAATGCACCAAGCATTGTTTTTTGTTCTGAAGTACACGTGTCAGACGACTGCTGAGAATTTTGTTGCCTACATCACTAATATCAGTATTTGAAAACTCTCAATCCTAGAAATTAAAATACTCCCTTCGCTTACTCTAACCTCATATTTACACACGCTGGCTCATGGTAGACCAGGGCCTACTTGATTTTGTTGACACTCAAGCGACGATTTGAACAAATCTCGGGAGATAAGCGTTCATACTATTAATTCTACGAGTTTATTAAAATTTAATGATTATTCTAAAAAAAACAAGCTTTTTAATGGGAAGGGATAAAACAGCTGGGGTCTTCTACCTTTCATTTACAACAAAAACCACGACATTTGGTTGAGTGGAATGCTCAAATTGCTTTGTAAACGAAAACCTTCAGCTATTTAATTATTAAGATTCTTGCAATTTTCTAGGTGTTTTAATGAAAATTGGAACTACATCGTACTTTTTAAGGCACAAAATGGGTCAATGGGACAAAATGGGACAAAGGGTCGAAATTGAACGAGGTGTAAAAATGGAACAAGGTGTCAAAATGGAACAAGGGATCAAAATGGAACAAGGTGTCAAAATGGAACAAGGTGTCAAAATGGAACAAGGAGTCAAAATGGAACAAGGAGTCAAAATGGAACAAGGGGTCAAAATGGAACAAGGGGACAAAATGAGACAAGGGGAAAAGGAACGAAATGGGACAAAAAGGTCAATGGGAAAAGTGGGACAAAAGGGACATAGTTATCCAAAGATTTATGAGCACTGGTAAAGTCTAAACCCGAGAGTCTCCTAAAATATACATTTTTTTACTGAAACGTTATTACTTATTATTGCCTTCAATACGAAGCTCAATATTCACTTACTTGGTCACATAATTTACCTAGATCGAGAGGATCTTGGTGACGAGGGAAATATATAATTAGTTGAATGTTAATTTATGTTCTCTTACGTACGGAACTATGAGAGGGAATTATGGGTAGGAAAACTGTAAGGACAAACCGAGTCACGTTAAAAACTAGTGAACTAGCAAATAAGTAAATATGCATGTTTAAAATTAGGTAAACAATAAAATCATGTATGTACCACGGATGTTAAGGTCACAGAGGCCTTTGGCCCGAGGACGTTTTATTGCCGCTCGATCATTAGAACCCTTATAATGCCCTTGGTGCATAAATAACTATTGATAGACTCTCAAGTATTTTAACGGCCGTTGCTATGGACGCGCTCTTAATGCGTTGTTTAGATGGTCAGTTGCTAAGGAGCTAAGCGCGTGTTTACCGACGTAAATAGCAAATAACTTAATGATCTCCTGGACGGCTCAACTAGATCTTTGTTCTGATGTGGTTAGTAAATTTCAGATCAAAGGCTTCTAATCTGACAGTTATTCCTGACACATGTATATCCAACAACCCAGGCACGCAGAAAAGACAGTCATATCGATTTTCGGGTACAAAATTGCGAGTATCTGCACCCATCTTATTATCTTCCAGGCAGCGTAATTAGACACCTTGATGTGTGTACAGATACAGCTCAAAAGGACCCTAAACTCTGATTTTACGACCGAAATTACAAAATCGAATGTTGAAGGGATTTCAATATTTCATATTCAATAGAATATTCAATGCCGAAAACATTTATATCGGCATCAACAAAATTACATTATTTTTGACGACGAAACATGAAAGCACACGACTTTTTTCCACGAGTCTCTCTGCCTGGCAGCCACTGCAATATTACGCAACATCACATCACGCATGTTTACGTATTGTTTTTGCCTCCTAACAAAAAATAGTAATTTACTTCATTGGCAAGAACTGTTTAATACAATTTCTAGGAAAATACGCAAGTATCCAAAATTGCATACAACGAATTCCCATTGATGTGAAAATAACAAATAATCCTTTTATAACAAATACAATACATGTTATAACAATTATACAACAAAAATGCAGCAACTGAATGAAAAAGTGTAATACCGTTGGCTGAGACATTTTCTGAAGGCTACTATTTACTGCATTTCAAGCAATACTATTTTAATGAAATCCTTCCAAATATAAAACAAACTGAATAAAAATATCATGTAAATACTTTGAATCGAGATGATTGTTATTTAAACTTCAGCCGTATTCCAATAAATAAAACAAACTGCAAATGTGTTTAACATCCGTAAATAAGGCTTGTAATGAATAATATTATAGGAAGTAGGCAGTTCCTTGTAGCATGGGATTATGTCCGCATAGGAATCGTTCATAGCCTGCAACGCAGGCACAACTCGAGAAAACTAATTTTGAGTTACGGCTGTTATTTGACAACACTGCATATTTATTATTAGCTTTTAAAACTTAAAAGCAAAAATAACATTATAGAAGTTTATCTGACCTCCATCTCTTTAGTTGTGTCAGTACTGCAGAACACGAACAGTATCGTTCATTGCTTTGCAACGAAATGTAAATGAGTAATTATTAAAATGTTCCTCTGCATAACAATAATTAATCTATACACACGTGTTAAAAAAATTTTAATAACAAAAATTAACACTCAATGAGTCCATACAAAAATGCGAAAGCTCAGTCCACACGTTCGACTGTTTGCCATCAGCGGTTTTGACATTTATATTTACTCTTCGAAACGTGCGTAATTATTTTATGGTTCGTGACAACACGTAAACAAATACAAACTAATTTTTTATTACAACATTTTTTCAGACAGCCCTAATAAATGCGGTTCTTTGAGAAAGAGCTGAAGGTCAATTTTCAGTTGTAGTACTAAAAGTGAGGCGATGCTCAAGAGATGGGCAATCTGTGAATGCAACAAAGAAAACAACATAATTTCGTCTGTGTGCATTATCTTCTACTGACTGTACCATTATGTGATTTGCAAACTTGAATTAAAAGGAAATATAAGCCAGTATGGCTGTCTACAAAATAATATATGACACACGAGTTAAACGTGATATTAATTTGCTCGTAGTTTAGCGCCTCTCAGCCTATCGGAATCGCGTCTCAACACGTCTTACACCTAAAATAATATGTCACTTTTACAACTTGTATCGTAAATAACAATTGTGAAGATTTATATAAACACCCGACGATGACATAAACCATAATAGAGGTTGGAAACGTAGAAAATAAAAGTAATATGACAAGGTGAAGTCAAACTTAATCTGAATATGTCTGACTGACATGACAAATGAAATTCAATGCCCGTTTTTTTCTCGCTCTAACATCCCTAGAAATTAAAACTCACCTGAGAATTCACAAAAATCGGCGAATCAGCAAATTCCTCCACACGGACACACACACACGAACGCACACGACTAGGTGACAGGCAACTGTGTTCGGTTAGCGACTCTGCGGGCGTTGCGTCCAACTCCCGGGTCGCAGTTTGCTTCGACGGCGTGAACGCTGGCAGACAAGACCGGCTGGAACCAGGGTGGCCTTCAACCTACCGGCGCCTACTGCTGCTCGCTTCGCCGGGGTTCCCCTTCCATTCTGCACTCTCGCCCCTTCCCCCGTGCCCCCGGCGCTAGCGACGTCCACCGCATTCGCAGAACGAGACCTTGAAATTGTTGCAGTGTTTGCGCATACAGAAACGGCCATCAACTCATTATTAATTGAAAAAGAAATTCCAAATACAAAACCAGAATTAAGAACAGCTTTCCTTTCCACTCATTTCTCCAAATATTTTCAAATACGACCGGTAGAGGAGGCTCAGGGCTTCAATTGAAACGTTTATTTCAGAAACCCGTCAAACGCCAAACATTTAACAAACGGGTTAGCAACAGGATATCGTTCTATGAGGATAAATACATCGTTTAGCGCAGAAAACATGTATTTGCAACTCTTGCAATGTAATCTGACAGACTAAAATATTCTGGTTTAGAACAGGAACCAGTCAAACGACGTCGTTTGCGGGGTTTCTGCTCTAAACCAAAAGGAAATTTCCTTTTAACCCTGCAGTGGTCGCATGCACTACCACTAAAATCAGGCTGTTATCAGGCTGACGGGTTATCAGCACCACCCCAGGGGTCGGTTAGGTTACACGTTCGGGAGGGGAGATTTTCTAGGAAAGGTTCAGGAAGTCTCGACGTGATCTCTATCTGTTCTTCTAAAAGTAGTGAGTGTTGTTTTCAGCTCGTAAGTAGCATCTGTTCAGAGAAGCGTTTTGAAATTTATTTTGCAAGTAATTTTATTTTGCTGTGAGTAGTGAGTAATAAAAAGTAATTTTTTGTGAAAACATGTCTAGTTTAGAAAATAAACTTGTACGTAAAATGAGACACGAAGTTGGCATGCCAGGGTGAAAGGCGAGGCATATATTTCGTTCACCGATAAGAAAGTAGATCTAAAAACAAGGACGGACAGCATTTCATTAACTAAAACAGAACGTACATATAAAACATGAATTTGTTGCACTCAATGTAAGAAAGCACTTGCAGAATATTTTGGTTACATTCAAATATTGCCTTACACATGTTTGTTCTACATTTTACAGTTCTTGTTGTAGGTATGAGACCTTATGTAAGAGATCTTATGTAGCTTATGTATGCTACGAACAATTTTACGACAAAATTTTGAATTGGACAACCAGATATGGTAAAGGTGATGGTGGTGTTGCACTTCAAGACGAAAACCAACTCGTATTTGTCAAGATTTTTGTGTTAAAATGTCTGATCTTCTAATATTATCTCGTTTAATGTAATAAATAATAAATAGTAACACTCACAAATTCATTATAAGTAATTAATACTCATAAAAAATGACATTACAAATCAAAACATGTCGTTTATTGCAGAAACCCGTCAAGTGGGTTTAAACTTTAAAAAAAAATACAATAAGATCAGTGAAAAAAAAATTACATGAAAACTATACATTTATCAACTGGTTTAATACTAAAAAATATTTCGAGTTTGGAAAAACCAAACCTTGGACGCTTAGACACTTTTTCTTAGTTTTCTCGAAATGAGATATTTGGCGTTTGATGGGTTTCTGAAATAAACAATTCATTGATGTGACTGGAGTGCCTCTGACTGGAAGGTTCTGAGATACGATCTCCGAGGGTGGCACCATTCTTCGACAATTTACTTCGATTTTTCTATAGTGACCGATGATATTAGGACATTGTCACATCTCCTTCCTTATGAAATGAATATTTTTAATTAATTCGCGAACGTCCTTCTCAACGGGGCTCGTGCTTCAGAAATGTGCTTACACACAATTAAACAAATTCATTTTGAGTTATATCAATGAGCTCATGTCATCTGCCACTAGATAAAAAATCAAAGTAGCTAGATAGCTAGGTCGCGTTCTGTCGCTCTCAGCAAGAGAATTCAGCCGCTCTGATTGGTAGTTTTCCGTGGTATCTCCCATAAACACTAGCTGAATGCCGGAGCAGTATACGCGCGCGATCTTTCCTTCCTCTTCCCTGTCCTGTCCTCACCCTTTGGCAAAATTTCTTCAAATATGTGAGACATAAGAAAGGGAACAAAGAAAGTATTCCAGCGATCTGCGGAGCAGATGGTTCGTTAAAATACTGACTGAGACATTTATCTTTATTATTATTATTATTTTTATTATTATTATTACTATTATTATTATTACTTTTATATTATTACTTTATATTATTATTATTATTATTATTATTATTATTATTATTATTAATTATTATTGTCATAATTATTATCTCATGGCCTTATACAGTGAAGTGATGTGAAGTGTAGTGTAATGGGGGGAAGGGAGTGTAGGGTAGTGAAGGGGAGTGCAGTGTAGTGTAGTGTTGTGTAGTGTAGTGAAGTGTTATGTAAATAGAAGTGAATTTAGATTAGCTAGAAATAAATTGGAACTATTATATCGAGCCCCTAATTCTAATAGTAAACCCAATTATAAATGTTGAAAATGTTTAGTATTTCTAATTTTAATTGTATCATGTTTGCCACCGAGCATTATCTCAAAGCGAACTTAATAAATCTATCTATCTATCACCCTTGCTTACACACTCCTACACGCGGCGCCGATGGTGTAACGGACCGTGTTAGCGTACCGGACGGTTGTAACCACGTTGGCGGGTTCAAACCCGATCGAATGGGAAAAAATCCTTCGTACGCCTTCTTTCGGAGGGGAAGTAAAGCGGCTGTCCCATGTTAGTAGATTTACTTGCATGTAAAAGATCCTCAAGCCTAATGACGCCTCTGAGCTAAATTCAAAATCGCCTGTTTCTCGCCAAGAATACCTCCTTTCTCTGCTAGTTGATTAAAAGAGCGTAGCGAAATGTGCTGGTCAAC